TGACAATAAAATATTTGTTTATTTATTCAACAATGTACATATTTATTGATGAATATATACATATACCTACACATCGTTTACTGGTGTTTTTTTCACAATTATGTAAAAAATTTCATTGTCTGATCCACACTCCAACCTATAAACGTTACTATTGAGATAAGCATTACTTATATATTTCTAGAAACTCTACCATAAGGTTTGTAGTTTAAGAATTGATTAGTTATAGTTTTGTCTATTTATTTCTAAACCATGAATATTACTTTAATATATGTTTACTGAAAAAGAAGAATCATGAAGTGACGAAACTTATCGATTTCACAATGAACTATGAATTATTTATTAGACAATAGAGCAGTGGTTCCACGATTGAAGAACCATATAATTCAGTTGGGTTATAGATATAAGTTCTGGTCTATTCACCATGATCTAGCCCAACTGTGTAGTATCATTAACTTATATACAAAAAATCTATGACTCAAAGCTTACATAACGGTTTTTTTTAGAAGGAAAATGTCATAAGATACACCTGTTCTGTTATTGACCAAAATATATATAAATAGACTCAATAGCGCAATGGATAGTGCTCTGGGGTTTGAAGCAAAATGTACCCAGATTTGAGTTTCATCGGGCTCTAAATCTTTTGTGTAAAGTGAAGAGGAAAAAAAGACTAGTAGAAATTGTGGGAATTTTCTATGAATCTAAAAAATTTTAAGGAAATATCAGGAGAATGTTTCTTTGGACTGGGATACTACCCGTGTACCCAAACCGAAACAGATAATTTCTTTAGGGGGCCATAACTGGAGCCTTTGACCTAAAGGTCTAAACCACAATGTAGTGGAGCAACGACAGGAGATGCAATCACACGGCAGCAGGTGATCAGTAATTGGTTCTTATGCTATTTGTTCCTTCAGGATTCTGGAGCCCATTTGCACCATTGGTTTAGAATCAGGATTTTCCAACTCCTCTATGTGAACTCTTCATGTTCAACATCCCAGTTAAAGCGTCCTCTCAATTTCGTAAACAAAACCCCCGCAGCAAGAAGGCAGTGAGTAGGACTTCCCTGGCAGTAATTGTATGCACGTGACATTGTGAGAGCATTTGGAGAAGGAGAGCTGACTTTCCGCAATCTCGACCATACCAGGGCAGTAAACTGTGAATTGGTTGAAGTTAGACACTAACAACGTTGAATGCCGGCTCAGGGGTCTAGTGGTTAAGCGCTCACGAGTGAGACTGGGTTAGAATCTCGCGAGACGGGATCGTGGATGTGCACTGCTAAGGAGTCCCACAGTTGGACGAAATGGCCATCCACTGCTTCCATGTTTTCCATGATAGTCTAGCTTCAATTCACTCATGACCTCAACCATTGAAATTAGATATGAATAAGTTAATATTTGTCATTAATTTAGTAAATTATTGACTGTTGGTCGATATGGACTTGCTGATTGAAGCCTATACACGATACTTATAGTGAGTGATTAGAGGAGTTGAGTGATATGGTCCGAAATTAGTTACACTGTGCAATTATATTAACTCTATATCTTGTTCTAAACCCTGGATTAACTATCATATAAAACTACTAATTCTTTGATTGCAGCATTCTCCTTTAGAAATTTATTCCTTATATATTCAGACTCTAATTACGTGAATCTTATTTCATATCCTGTGCTTCCTATCCTGTTGATTTCTTCTTACTGCACTGACATGATATATGAAAACCTTAACTAATCCATATCCATCTTTGGTCCTATATTGCTTACAACTGATTATGTTGATCAATATTATCCCAATTCAATTCATTGAAGATTAATTCCTCATCGTCTTAAGACATGAAGTTCTTAAAGTTTGATTGTATGTAGGGTTGTGGATATACACTGCTAAGTCTTACATTAGTCTAAAACAACTGTCCAATGCTTTCAGATTATTAGTAATATTCTTATAAAGATCATTTCATGATCTAAACAATATGTGATGTTATTTGGTTTCAAAGTGTAACATCAATTGTCTATCTGGCTCATATAACAATCTATCGTTATTCATTATTAAGTGATAATATAAAAAGTAATTAAATCAACAATATAGTATAAAACTATTCATGATAGTTCAGTTATTGTCCATAATGTTTGTTTATACAACAAGAGAGAAAGAGACATGTTGTTTACTTAGTTCGTCTAATTTAAAATTGATTTATATGTTTTGACGACTGTTGACAATGGCACATAGGCGAGTATATTATACATATCCATGTAATATAAACCGTGTAGTAAACAATCATATGTAAGTACTTGATTTCTTGAATAAAATCAATGATAAATATTCCATTTAATATGTACTCCGTTAGTCATATATATAGAAAGAGAGAGAGAGTGTGCGTGTGTATATGTGTGTGTGACACCTTACAAATGTTTACGCTAATAAAGACAATTTTTTGTTAAAATACTAACTTAGATGTTGAGTCCCAAATTTAACTAGGTTTCTGTGTTATTTACTAATGAAATTGAAAAATCTCCATAATCCCTTTTAGTAACTAGTTATGTGCTTATTTGTGACCAACTCGGAAAAGTAATTTCAGAGTTCTAGTAAGAAATCATAACTAATAGAGTTCAACAATGTCAAATGTAAACCGATTATTCACCAAATACATCAGGAGATTGCAGGACGATATGACTAATTGACTGGAGTTAGACATTAACATCGTAAAATCCTGACACTGGTCTGAAGGTTAGGTGCTAGAGAGTGAAACTAAAGATGCTTAGCTCGAGCACAAGTGAATGTACTTCTGAGGAGTCCCTACCAGGATAGAACATCTATCCAGTGCTTCCGGGTTTGCAATGATTGTTTAACTGCGAACAATTCGTATTCATTATGGAAAAAAATACCTATTCGAAATCGATTGTGTTAAAAATATTTGACTTTTTTTTATAAAAAGGCGATTGATTGTATTATTTAAAAGCTTATATACTCAGTCAGTCAGTCGACTACAACGTAAGACCAGGCACATATATGGATTGGTCCAAGTTACCACACCTCATTAGCACAATAAAATGAACACCAAACTCATAGCAATAGTTACTTCAACGATAAGATTATTCTAACCGCATTCAAAATCAATCATGTATACGATAACAGGTCTATAAGTTGTTGTATAAAATTTTTTATAGATATGTAGTGTCGGTTACTATGTTAAACCCACATAACTTGTTCTAACTTCTAGACAGGTCAATTTATCCATTCTTCTTGAATCATATCAGGCTCACCATCTTAGTGGCCAGGGATCTGACTCCATTTATATCGTATGAATGATTGTTTTCAAAATATAAATCCTGGTTATCCTCAAATATAATTATTGACTTAAATCATTTTAGTGTATAACGGAATTAAATAAGTCAAATACGAGAATGAATGTTTGAATACGTGTATTTTGTACACTCGTTAATCGGAGCAATCAGAGAATTGCAGCGAATGAAGTGAAAAAGAGAGAGTGAAGCGAAACGAAAAGACGCTCAATGGAGAAGGCGTATGAGCCAACTCCACAAAATACACGTATTTAAACATTGATTCTCATATTTGACTTATTTAATTCCGTTATACACTAAAGCGATTTAAATCGATAATTATATACGAGGATAACCAGAATTTATATTTTGACAACAATCATTCATACAACATAACTGGAATCAGATCACAGGCCACTAAAGATATACAAAGAATTGGAGTACACTAAATCATTTATTGTTTAATTCACACTTTAACTATGGATTATTTGAAAAAGTAACTTATCAAAAATGCAGTTAGTTATTAATGATAATGACACAATTCCTATAACATATGACAGATGATTTGACAATGTAGATGTTTTTGATAAACTTAAATCATGTTTGCATTTTGCTAATAGCGGTTAAGTGACTACCTATTGAATGGCACACACTACTGAAATGGGTAATCACAGACTGAACATGTTAAATTGTTGTAACTTTATTCTACTGATTTACATAAATCTACAGTAATCAACCTTATTAACTTACAGAATATTTAAACGCTTTATACTCATGAATAATATGTCAAAGATTGATACCAGTAATTGATTGGTTGCCAGTATGAAAGTATAATCATAAAAAATAACAATATTCTCTGTTGTAATTATCGGGATCACCGGGAAAGTAACAGTGAGGTTAGGGAATGATGGTAAATCAGTTGATGATGTTGTAAATCTACATCGACTGAGATGGATGGGTCATGTGTTACGTATGCCTGAACACCGATTACAATGACGCACGATGCTGACTAGTTTTAGGGATGGTTGGAATGAAATTAGGGACGACCAAACCAAAACGTAGCATCAGTGCTTGAAGTCACTAACTTCTAGTCTTAGTCATGTTGGTAAATTTAGACTAGTTGGTTGGGGTCCGCGTGACTTCCGCAACGAGTAGTCATTGGAGACTGTGTGTGACAGGGTTCAGAATCAATCACAATGGCATGGGTGTTTACACACACACACTCTCTTTTCCCTTAAGCCATGAGATTAAATCACTTGATATCTTTCCTTCTACCAACTAATTCTTCCTTATATGCAATCTTTCTTTTATATATTACTATTGTTGAAGCAAATACTTCTATGAATTTGGTGTACATCTTGTTGTGCTAATGAAGTATGGCAACCTGGACCGATGTATATATGTGCCTGATCCTACGTTGTAGCTGACTGACTGACTGAATATTAATATTATCTATTGTATATCTACAATGTTCTAATTTAGTAAGAGAATATTCTAAAACTTTCAATCATAGATTTTTATTCGTTTAAACCATTTAATAATATAACTTAATCTAATCGTTAATAAATGATGCTTAATATTGTCAACCATTGAACATTTTTTTTAGTCAATATTATTCTTAGAATGATTGACTATTGACTGTTGTTAAATATTTAAAAAAACTTTACAAACAAACCAAAAGAAAAGAAACTTGACATTTTCTCTTTCTACTATAATCCTCCAGCTAGATTATTTCAATTCACAATTACTGTTATTATTATTATTATTATTATTATTATTATTAGTAGTAGTAGTAGTAGTAGTAGTAGTAGTAGGAGGAGGAGGAGGAGGAGGAGGAGGAGGAGGAAGGGGAGGAGGAAGAGGAAGGGGAGGAAGGGGAGGAGGAAGAGTAATAGCCTTACTTTAGATGTTAAAAACCAACTGTTACCATTTTTTTTCTTTCTTAAAGAATGTAAAAATGTATAGACAAAGTTTTACATATGTTGTATATTTCCTCTTTTTTTTTGTTGTAAAGAGAAAAAAAGGTAAAAAAAAACAGATAAATAATTCAAAGGAAAAAACTTTTTTTATTCCTAAAAAGATAAAAACCCAAATAAAAAAATTTAAATGTTAATAACCTAATGATTACTAAATTTCTTTATGTAACAACCCATGTATGTATCTATATATGTATGCCTATATATATATGTGTGTGTATGTATCCATGTGTATATAAGTGTGTGTGTAACTGGGTGAATGAGTGAATGTGTAATAATATTAAAAATTAAAAAAAAGAAAAAGGTAGTCTTGTTATCAACTCAATGAGATTATCATTCCTGAATCAAAACATAAACACCTAATATATATATATATCCTATCAGAAACTGGTGTATAAATGACAAAACAAGTAAACTTTAATGTTTGTTTGTTCGTTTTTCCTTTTCCTAATGAAAAAGAAATATTTAGAAAGAGAAAAAAGCGACAGCAACAAAAAAAGCGAACTACACGAACATTAAACTTCTGTGTGTGTGTGTGTTTAAAGAAAGAAAGCCGATAGTTGTTCTGTTACATTTCTTGTACTTAGACTATTTCCTTGCTTATAGACGAAAACAAAGTCATAAAACACATATATGTATGGTACCATTCAATTTTTTTCTTCTTTGAATACGAGAAAGTACTTTATCTAACATCAGTTCTTTTGAAGAATTTACGTAAGTGTAAATAGTATTACATTAGCAAGAATAGAAGATAACCAATGACAACTATGTGTTATATGCATGTTTACAACAAAAAAAGAAGGAAATATGAATACTATCAATGGTGATTAAGTTATTTCTAATACTTTAAGTAATAGATGATAAATAGTTCTAGAAAGAATCATAGACAAAATGTAAACGTAATGACTGACTTACTTCTACAGTTTTTGTATATCCATTTATTATATCTATGAATGTATCCATTCAGTTTAAACCATTTTTTTCTCTTGTTTTATTCCAATAATTATTAATTTCCATTTATTATGTTCCGCTTTTTTGTTGTTGTTGGTAAATGTTATAATTTAAAAGACAATTATTCACCATGTAACCATGTCGTAATAATAGTAATAGTGATAATTCACAAAAAAAATTTTTAAATTTTCATTTCTGTCACACACAAAAAATTAAATAATGATGCACAATGCAGACAAATTAACTGGATTCAAGGTCATTCAAAAATTGACCAATAGGGATTCAGATATTATATTCATTCATTCAACCAATCACAAGAATTGAGTCATCCTGATTAGTTTCGAATATGATTGGTTAATAATTATATAACTGATGAGATATTGATGTCAAAAGGGGTTTTTGGGAGATTGTAGTAATTTCAGTAGTTGAGATCTTAAGTCAATTGAAGGTGGAGCACTATGGAAAACCTGGAAGCACTGGACGACCGTTTCGTCCCATCGTGGGCCTCATCAGCAGTGCATATCTACGACGATGTTAATCTTTACTTGAATCCATCGATCTGTGTTTAGGAGTACAATTGATCAGTGTCATATTGGTATAGACGCATCCTATGCGAATTGCCTCGATATTGCTTTAAATCAAAAATTCTGAGCAAAAAATGGATAATGGCTAGCAGTAGAATCTAAAACGTGCGTTTCGTCCTATTTGAGATTCATCAGCTGGATGTACCTGCATATCACAGTTGATGTTCACTCTGGGACTCAAACACAGTACCGTTCGTTTCAAACCCTATCACGTTATTAACTAAGCTACTGAGTCCTGATAGCGACTTGCTTATGCAATGGAGTGAAGTTTAAATTCACTTGGTATTGATTCCTTGAATCTTTCCATTGTTATTTAGGACTGCAATTGATCAGTCTATTTGTTTAATATACAACTGGTCTTGAATTTACTTAATTGTTGGTTAGATTGCAAGAATAATTATGATCAGAATAGGGTTTCTGGAGATTGTAGTAATGTTAACAAATGAATTGATGAGTCGAGTCCCATACTAGGACTAAACATCCGTTCGGTGCCTCAAGGTTTTCAACGGTGGTCTAGCTTACATTGATTCATGAATTCAACTATACAAAAATAATTATCATACTGTAATGTATGTAAACAAAATATAAACTGTATATGACCTTAAGTGAAAATTATTAATTCATTTTACTAATTTTTTTAAAATATACATTTCGGAATCATTTACAACATCAGTTCTGAGATACTTGTACATCCAGTTGATAGGTTCCAAATACTATGAAATGCGTGTCATGGATTCCACTGCTAGCCATTATCAATCTTTGACATAACAGACTATTTTTCATAGGATTTTCTTGGATGAATTCTACATAAGAACAGAATGACAATCTTTATACAATGCAGTAAAATTATTAATCATGCTGCGTTAACTTTTTGTCTTGCTAAAAAGACTAATAAATTTACGAAAATACACTTATGAACACGAATTTTATAATGTTCGAGACAAGGGATCTTAGATGAATAGAAGTGAAAAATCGATTGTTCAGTTCACTTGGGATCCACGTTACTATCGTGACCAGTATTGGTTGGAGACTCTAGGTGACATGGCTCAGAATCGACCACAATCGTGTCGGTGTATACACTCTCTATTTTCCTTTAAACTATGAGATTAAAATTGCTCCATATCTTTCTTTCTACCAACTAATTCTTTCTTGATGTACTATATCCTTATATGCAAACTTTCTTTTATATATTACCACTATTGAGTTAACTAATTCTATGAATCCGATGTTCATTTTACTGTGCTAATGAAGTGTGGCAACTCGGATCGATGCACACATGTGCCTCTTTATCCAATACCATAAGTTTGTTTTCGATGATAAACTCTGAGAAGAGAACATACAAAATCTCCAGAAAATTCCCATTTGCGTAAACATCTAATTTCTGAATATTCGAAAAATGTATTTGAATTATGTACAAACTGTGATAAGTTGACGTCCACACTCATTAGCTTGTGTTTACGATCAGCCTTGCTTCTATGATGTTGATATGTGAAATTTATTGTGATCGCCTATTATTATTCCTATGGACAGATAAAGAGAAAAACATACGAATCACCACGTTAGCACTTCTTGATTCTCTCATGAACCAGATTCGTTACAGGTTTTAGATATCTAATGAAAGTATGTGTGTACATGCGGTCAGTGAATACAATTAGTGAATAAATAAAAAATATTAAAACAGGGAAATTTATAACAATAAATACCGATATGGAACAGTAGTACCTCAATAATAATAATAAGTATGCTGTAGGGTTCGATTCCGTGTAATGCTTCTGAGTAGGCAACATTCAAGACACACAAATAAGTACGAAGAAGCTGCTATGTATTTCTCAACTTTGACGAAATTTACATTTATATCCTTGAAGCGGTTATTGTTTAACATCATGGAGTTTAATGATAATAAAATAAACTGGATAAAATATCGTTATCAGTAAAAATCAGAATACACGTCTCATCCTAATCGGAACATGCATGAATTTCAAATTTGGTGTTCAGATTGAGCATCGAAGTCGACAGTTTTCTACTTTAAACACTGATGAGTTCCGATTAGGATGAAACGAGTATCCTGGCTTTCACTACTAGATGTAATTCATCCATTCCCCCCCCCCACACACACAAAAGATTAATTTCAATATTTATACATCAATGCAATCTAACCAAGATGTACATCTTCCATTAAAGACTGATCAGAATTTCGTCGTGAATATCAATAACAGGACAATTCAATCCTTAATAATTAAGATAATAATAATAATAATCTACCAAAATCTTTAATCAATAATACAATAGCCATCCAGTACTTCCAGGTTTTCCATGGTGAACTAACTTCAATCGATTCATGATCTCAACTATTGAAATCAATAATGAATCAAAATTTAGTACCAAACATGAATGAATTTTCTTAGATGTTTATCTTTTGTCACGTTGTTTACTTAGTTTTTTTTTTAAAGAGTAACATCTCATTAACCCCCCCCCAAAAAAAAGAGAACAAACGATGATATTTGAAGGAAGTTAATCAACCAAATTATACGTGACAATTGAACATAAATAAACATACAATAGGTTCAATGTTTGTTTGTTTTTCTAATCAAAATTTAATTATTTTTAGACAACTATTTATTACTAAAACATAAATTATGATTTATCAAATTGAATTAGATTTAATTAATTAAACTGACAAGTAAATATTCTCACTAGTGACTCATTTCAAGAGGTAGTTCATGGAGTTTTGGAGTGAGAAGTAGTGACCAGTGGAGTTCAACCAGGTTTGTTGTAGAGGTAGTTAATCACTGAAGACAATGGTGGATTTATCGATGAATTTAGTAGATTAGTTGAAGTTAGACATTAAAACAGTTGAATGCCGGGCGACTCAGTGGTCTAAATATTAAGTGTTCGTGCGCGAGACTGATAAGTTCTGAGTTGGAATCTCGCAAGACGGTCGTTTAGTGCATCCATGTTTTCCATGGTGGTCTAACTTAGATCAAATTATAAAATCGACTGTTAAAATTATAAAGATGAGTTAATCCTAATAATAGTTTTCATTATGAATTAACATAAGGGTAGAAGCAGAATAAGATGAATATCAAAAGATGCATGATGATTCCATGTCACTGTTCGTTTATATGTAAAGTTATCAACTATTTTTTTTAAAGCCTATTATACATTTTATCACGAATATTAAAGATTCATCAATTATTTTATTGAAGATTAGTTTAAGAACTAAGTGCATTAATGACTAGTTACATAATGAACAAATAGTTTGAATAAGACATTGTAATTAATATTGACCAATCATTATCTGAAGTAGTTGACTACCTCCAACCACCATCTTATTCCAACGTAATACACACAATTTCAAGTCATCTGGACTGGTGGCAACATTGAAAAATGATCAGTAGGATTTAAACTGCACTAAGAATGACTTGACAAACATGACATTGATCAATGAATTATAAATTATTTGAAGTGTGATATGATTTCAAATACATAACAATGATTGTTGTGTTAATGAGGTATGGCAACTTGAACAGATGCACATATGTGCCAGGTCCTATGTTGTAGCTAACTGACTAGCATAATAATGAACTCCAATTCAGTAGTTTGAAAGAATTATATTCATCATAAAAAGTTTCTGTTATTAATTCTATATTATAAATGCATGTAATAAAAAAAACTTTATATTAAAACTAGACACTTGTTTAGTAGTACTTTGTTGTTTACAGTCTTAGATCGAGTTAAATGCTACAACTCTATGAGTAAGTAAGTAAGTAAGTAAGTAAGTAAGTAAGTAAGTAAGTAAGTAAGTAAGTAAGTAAGTAAGTAAGTAAGTAAGTAAGTAAGTAAGTAAGTAAGTAAGTAAGTAAGTAAGTAAGTAAGTAAGTAAGTAAGTAAGTAAGTAAGTAAGTAAGTAAGTAAGTAAGTAAGTAAGTAAGTAAGTAAGTAAGTAAGTAAGTAAGTAAGTAAGTAAGTAAGTAAGTAAGTAAGTAAGTAAGTAAGTAAGTAAGTAAGTAAGTAAGTAAGTAAGTAAGTAAGTAAGTAAGTAAGTAAGTAAGTAAGTAAGTAAGTAAGTAAGTAAGTAAGTAAGTAAGTAAGTAAGTAAGTAAGTAAGTAAGTAAGTAAGTAAGTAAGTAAGTAAGTAAGTAAGTAAGTAAGTAAGTAAGTAAGTAAGTAAGTAAGTAAGTAAGTAAGTAAGTAAGTAAGTAAGTAAGTAAGTAAGTAAGTAAGTAAGTAAGTAAGTAAGTAAGTAAGTAAGTAAGTAAGTAAGTAAGTAAGTAAGTAAGTAAGTAAGTAAGTAAGTAAGTAAGTAAGTAAGTAAGTAAGTAAGTAAGTAAGTAAGTAAGTAAGTAAGTAAGTAAGTAAGTAAGTAAGTAAGTAAGTAAGTAAGTAAGTAAGTAAGTAAGTAAGTAAGTAAGTAAGTAAGTAAGTAAGTAAGTAAGTAAGTAAGTAAGTAAGTAAGTAAGTAAGTAAGTAAGTAAGTAAGTAAGTAAGTAAGTAAGTAAGTAAGTAAGTAAGTAAGTAAGTAAGTAAGTAAGTAAGTAAGTAAGTAAGTAAGTAAGTAAGTAAGTAAGTAAGTAAGTAAGTAAGTAAGTAAGTAAGTAAGTAAGTAAGTAATTGAGAAACTAGTTAATTCATTACAAATTGATGGATGAGTCAAATTCAAATCAAATTTTTGTTTGTTTTTTTTTCGAAAAAAAATAAGGTTTATTTATTTATTTAATTTTAAAATAGTTAAATGCTAATTTTTGTTTGTTTCTTCTTGTAGATTTTAGTTACTATGCTACTATTAGATTATTACGGTTGTTTACATGATCTTATAATTCATTCATACAATTGTACAGATGCATATTAACAGTCATATCCATATTTATTTACATAGACATGTGTACAAACACACAAACAAACAAACAAACAAAAATAGATACACACATAGATATGTACACAAACACGAATGTAAAACAAATAAACAAACAAGAGATTTTGATGGAATATTCACATTTTTATTCAAAGAAAATGTACTTCTCTAATCAAATTATAAGAACATAGACTTGAATGTTTTTTTTAAATAATTTTTATTAAAAAGAAAGAAAAGAGATAGAATTGAACAAAGAAAGGTTAGACATTAACACTATTGGATGCTGGCTAAGGGTTCCAGTAAGTTAAGCCTTCGTGCGCAAAACTGAAGGCCCTGGGTTCGAGTCGCGCGAGCAGGATCGTGGATGCGTACTGCTGAAATTTCCTACAATAAGATAAAACGGCCGTCCAGTGCTTTCAGGTTTTCAATGGTGGTCTAACATCAATCGGTTCATGAAATCAGTTAAAGAAAAAACTGAAAATGTATCATTAATTTAACAATAGAAATGAAATACAAAGAAATTACAATAAAGTACATTGATGATGATGATGTTTTGTTTTGTATTTTGTATCGTATTTCTCTCTTAGTATAGAACTTTTTTAAGGCGAATTTATAATTTATGGATGAACCAATCAGATTTAGGATGACAGGTCTTAGATTTTTGAACGAAATTCATTCATTCTGTCGGTTAAATAGCGTTCTGATATTTTAGGTGATGTCAGTTCTTGGTGAAAACCAGAAATCTAATTCCTAATCTTGTTCATCAACTATAATTTATATTCCTTACTCTTCATACTGCTTTATAACCATCATTTAACCTTAGTAAGTCAGTGGACATTCCTAAGGTCACTTTAATGTCACTAAAGGTCGTCCATAAGTTAAAGTCTAACCCTTTTTAAATACCATCTGACTGTACATATACTATTGGATTAAATATTCACCTTTTGGACACTTTTCACATTACGACTAGTCATAATGTGGATAACTCGTTGATGATACTAAAAAATATGATAGAATTCAATGAATTAACTAAAACGAGGAATAGCTCAATGGTAACATATGAAAATATGGAGCTAGTTAACATTATTTCCCTCAAGATCATGGGTACGACGAAATGAAGAATGCTAATTAGCACGAAACTAAGGTTCATAGTTTTTTGTAGACCACCTAATTATCAACTGGTTACCTAAATTAGCTAATATTGTGTGTAATTCACATTATCGAATGAACTTATCGACGTGCCCTACTTGAACATGGTAAACAAGCTTTTTCCACATAGTATAAGGAAAAGAATAAATAAAAGCTTATACGGTAATGAATGATCAAAATTATAAAAAAAACAATGATAAAATCTGTTAGTATTCATCCCAATATGCAATAAGCAATATGCATTGAGAAGTCAGGCTAATAATACTTAGTAGTAGTAGTAGTAGTAGTAGTAGTAGTAGTAGTAGTAGTAGTAGTAGTAGTAGTAGTAGTAGTAGTAGTAGTAGTAGTAGTAGTAGTAGTAGTAGTAGTAGTAGTAGTAGTAGTAGTAGTAGTAGTAGTAGTAGTAGTAGTAGTAGTAGTAGTAGTAGTAGTAGTAGTAGTAGTAGTAGTAGTAGTAGTAGTAGTAGTAGTAGTAGTAGTAGTAGTAGTAGTAGTAGTAGTAGTAGTAGTAGTAGTAGTAGTAGTAGTAGTAGTAGTAGTAGTAGTAGTAGTAGTAGTAGTAGTAGTAGTAGTAGTAGTAGTAGTAGTAGTAGTAGTAGTAGTAGTAGTAGTAGTAGTAGTAGTAGTAGTAGTAGTAGTAGTAGTAGTAGTAGTAGTAGTAGTAGTAGTAGTAGTAGTAGTAGTAGTAGTAGTAGTAGTAGTAGTAGTAGTAGTAGTAGTAGTAGTAGTAGTAGTAGTAGTAGTAGTAGTAGTAGTAGTAGTAGTAGTAGTAGTAGTAGTAGTAGTAGTAGTAGTAGTAGTAGTAGTAGTAGTAGTAGTAGTAGTAGTAGTAGTAGTAGTAGTAGTAGTAGTAGTAGTAGTAGTAGTAGTAGTAGTAGTAGTAGTAGTAGTAGTAGTAGTAGTAGTAGTAGTAGTAGTAGTAGTAGTAGTAGTAGTAGTAGTAGTAGTAGTAGTAGTAGTAGTAGTAGTAGTAGTAGTAGTAGTAGTAGTAGTAGTAGTAGTAGTAGTAGTAGTAGTAGTAGTAGTAGTAGTAGTAGTAGTAGTAGTAGTAGTAGTAGTAGTAGTAGTAGTAGTAGTAGTAGTAGTAGTAGTAGTAGTAGTAGTAGTAGTAGTAGTAGTAGTAGTAGTAGTAGTAGTAGTAGTAGTAGTAGTAGTAGTAGTAGTAGTAGTAGTAGTAGTAGTAGTAGTAGTAGTAGTAGTAGTAGTAGTAGTAGTAGTAGTAGTAGTAGTAGTAGTAGTAGTAGTAGTAGTAGTAGTAGTAGTAGTAGTAGTAGTAGTAGTAGTAGTAGTAGTAGTAGTAGTAGTAGTAGTAGTAGTAGTAGTAGTAGTAGTAGTAGTAGTAGTAGTAGTAGTAGTAGTAGTAGTAGTAGTAGTAGTAGTAGTAGTAGTAGTAGTAGTAGTAGTAGTAGTAGTAGTAGTAGTAGTAGTAGTAGTAGTAGTAGTAGTAGTAGTAGTAGTAGTAGTAGTAGTAGTAGTAGTAGTAGTAGTAGTAGTAGTAGTAGTAGTAGTAGTAGTAGTAGTAGTAGTAGTAGTAGTAGTAGTAGTAGTAGTAGTAGTAGTAGTAGTAGTAGTAGTAGTAGTAGTAGTATCTAACTGCGCTGACTGAACTATTTTAATTGTAGCTCTTACAAACAACCGGATGTATGAGACTCAAAAGTTTTAGAAACTAATCTGTTTTTTTTCCAGTTAAATATTTTACTTTAGCTTGCATGAATTCTCGATTAGTATCAGATCAATAATTTAAAAAATCTCCTTTAAGTAATTGTCATCTCATTTGTCGGAATTCCTCGTGGAATGAATCCTTTGATCAGATACAGGAAGAAGGACTTTTAATTTGATTAATATTCAACCAATATAACCACCACAGTGAGACTATGATTTATGAACGAACCAATCAAATTTAAGATAACATATCTTGGATTTTGGTGTTAAATTCATTCAATTGTCTAAATACCATTTCGGCATTATAGCTGATGTCAGTTAATGGCAAAAACCCCACATTTAATTCCTGACCCTAACTATCAACTGTAAATCCCAATTCTAATTCTGCACACACGTTTATAACCCTCATTTAACAGTCGTAAGTAGGTGAACATTTTCAAGCTCACTTCAATGTTGCTCACAGGTCGTCCATAAATTATAGTTTCAACAACCATCACTAATCTTATCAATTTAATCAATGATAGTTTTAAATTCAACATCATCATCATTTTCAATAATGTAAAATTCTAGTAGAATATACAGATTCAGTATTGATTTCCTTATGGGAATTATTCGCCTTTTTCTTCTGCTAATAAATTATTGGTACTTTGTCTTTGAATTATTTCGACAATTCAGTGTATGGCAAGAAACATGTGATCATCAGACAGATCATTTATTTTGTCCAGTCAATATTTCACTCGTACTGGTAGTCAATTGTGATACTGAGTGACGTAAGTTCGAATTGCTCCACGATTATCAATTCTCTTGAGATTCAGAACAACATACATAAGCGAACAATATTGTTTCACCTTAGATTACAAATATACTTTCCTGATAAGTGCTAACTAACATGAATTTTAGATTTTCAGATCCTCCTATTGACTACCATTAACCACTCAACATCGAACCATGGTGTACACCACATTATAGCCACTATAGACCTTATTGAAGTTTGGATCAACTCTGAAAACTATTAGGCCAACATGATATTATCCCAAGGGCTTTTGTGGATATTACAATGGTGGATTTATCAATGAATTTAGTGGATTGGTTGAAGTTAGACATTAACCTGGTTGGATGCCATCCGACTCAGTGGTCTTTAGTTTACTCGTTCTCGTGCGAGACTGGATAGGTCCTGAGTTCGTGTATGCTCACTGTTGAGGAGTCCCACAATAGGACGAGACAGTCATCCAATGCTTCCATGTTTTCCATGATGATCTAGCTCATAATCTCAAACATTGAAACATAATCTTGTTAACTATTCAGAGATCAATCACTGTTGACTTAGCCGATTCTTAAAAGATAATAAATATAACAAACTAGTAATGCTTCATTCATTTGTTTTCAATAACACGGACTTATTACTATCTCACTGCTTAATCAATAACCATGACAACATTATATTCTTATGACATATTGTAGAAATCCTAAGTGTTACATCATCAACATAAAAGATAATTATCATAGATATGACAGAATTAGTTTGGTTCTATATTCAATTAGATGAGATAATATAACAACTGTCAACAGGTTGACATGATATGTGCTTTAAGAATAATTATTTTGATTGTAAATTGGTCGCACCGATTCAATACACCATGTAATTAGATAAACAAATGTCAGTTTACATATATAAATCTTATCGAAATGGCGATAAGACTTATATTGTTTGTTTTAACTGACCTAAATAATTAAGAAGTTTGTATATATATATATGTGTGTTTGTTAAACATATAGGCCACAATGGCATAGTTGTATGTTCATTATCTATATAGAAAGTATTCGTCTATGAATAATTTATAAACTCTTTGATATGTCTGAATAGAATCATTGATAGTAAGTGAAAAAGGTCATGATATAGTCAATGATAGGAAATGATGATAAGATGATGACATTACAATTACAATTAAGCTAATGAGATTTATAGAATGTGATCAACAAATTGTTATGTGTTCAATTTAATTTGCTTTTATTTGTCAACACTAGAATAATTAACGTGCATGGAGGACAGCACACAGACTCGTTCGAAGTAAAGATTGGTTTCAGGCAAGGTTGCTTACTCTCAACCTTTCTCTTTCTCCTGCCAATCGACTGCATCATGAAGACGTCAACATCTGAAGGGAAGCATGGGATAATTGGACATCTAGAATGCAGTTGGACGATATAGACTTCGCAGATGATCTGGCTCTTCTATCTCAAACGCAACAACAAATGCAGAAGAATATGCCCAGTGTAGCAGCAGCCTCAGCAGCAGTAAATCTCAACATACATAAACGGAGAAGCAAGCAACACAACATACATATATTTTGAGTACATTAAATGATCGAATATGATCTTTCTACACAACTTGTCACATAACTGTTTACCATGAGAAATGTATGCCATCATTTATGCAAGTAAACAGTGAAGGAAACTGTTAGATGAAAATAACTGTCCATTTTTCACTTATACGAATATTATCGTCAAGCTGTTCAGTTATTAGTATAGGGAATATGTGAAAACTGTAGAATTTTCATAGGTTAAATCGCCGCCATTAGATACTTGGAATTACTGGACGATCGTTTCGTTATTGTTTGGGACTTACGTAGTTCACACTCTCGAATACCGACACAAAAAACCAAATCTAGAACATTCATTCTCCCTAACGTACACCTAACATCTACATCACAGAGCTAGTATCCAATGGTCATAATGTATAACTTCAATCAATTAAAAATACTGTGCAACATACGTCCATTGTGTATGGTGATTAGCTGTTTCACACCCTACTCGGACTGAATTTCATTGGTCACAGCTTCTTACTTGAACTCGAAAAGTTAAACTTTGAAATTAGTCACTGATGAACAAATGATTATTATTCATGTTAGAAATTTGTGATGATTGTAGAATTTTCATTGTTTAAATTATCAGATCTTAGTTGGACTATTATTGAAACCTCAGAAACATTGAAATGTTCTTTCGTCTTAATATGCAACTTCTCATTAGTACGGAACGTGTTACAATCAAATGACAGGGGATTGTTGATAAGTTTATTGGTTAACCGATTGTTCTACAGTTTATTACTTACATTAATCGATAATGGTAATAATAATAATACTGACAAATCTACTGAATATTTGTCATTCTACCTACAGTACAGAAGAATTAATAGCTAAAATAGTTGAATGGAAATAACCTGTGAACATGTTCATCATCATGTGGTAAAAAAACACACAATCACTTTATCCCCATTTTAACAACAACAACACGATGATGTTCACACTTACCTTCTATAATAAAATGAAATCTGATTGCAAATTTTAAGTTATTCACCCCACCCCCCAATAGTATCTTGTTATTGTTAGTTGTGGTAATGATGCTTTTTAGGTATAGTTAGAATTGATAATTTTGTTTGTAACTATCACAATTCATGTTCTTGATCTATTTCTCGTTGTATCTACTATCCACCCACCCACACACCCACCTACCTACCTACCTACCCCTTTATTCAAACATATTCACATAAATATCACACATCAATATATGGATAAGTTGATTTTATCATCCATTCAATTTAGTATTATGCATCAATGAGCACGTAATTTATGATGAATGACAGTTTATTAGTTTATTTCTATTTCACTTATATTTATACACATTCACAAATTATTCATATAAACTAATGGTGAAAGATACATTAGTTTTTTATCAATTATATCAATCAAAAACTTGTTTGGTAAAAGAAAAATTCATAGAATTTGTACTTGTACTTCTTCTTTAATCGAACTCTTTCTCTCTCTCTCTCTCTCTCTCTCTCTCTCTCTCTCTGTTTCCCCCTTCTTATAAACACTTTCTCTGGTTCTATATGGAAACAATTCACAAAAATAATTTGTAGATTCTCTGTGCACAAAATTATAAACAGAATGTATGACGTAATTGTCTCATTTATGACTATGAATTCACTAGATGAAATGTAATTTGAAAATGTATTACGTATGTTTAATCATCGTCTACTTAGATTTGAGAAGTTCACTAGGGGTAGTAGTAGTAGTAAACTGAAAGAAGATTAGAAGCGATCAAACCAAGAAATCATACTATACGGTAAATGTTCATGTAATTATCATGACATATGAATGGAGATCTTAGGACGACATGTTTCGAAATCGGTTGCACTGAAACCAATTCACTTACTTTTTGTCTTTCTTCAAATTCTGAATGTCAAAACTATTTTATAGATGTATGCTTATAATATTATTTATTCTTATTTTTAATTATTATCAGAAGAGGGTTTAGTGCAGATTTTAGTAATTTAATGGTTGAATTCTTGAATCAATTGAAGCTAGACAATCATGGAAGAATTGGACAGTCGTCTTGTTCTAGTATGGGACTCCTCGGCAGTGCACATCTACGATCCCACCCCGCAGGATCTGAACACAAGACCTATTAGTCTCGCGCGCAAACGACTAACCTCTAAACCACTGAGTCGGTCGGCATCCAACCGTGTTAATGTCCAACTTCAAATAATCCACGAAAATGAACGATACATCCACTATTGCCTTCAGTGATTAAGTGCCCTTACAACAGACGTCGTTGAAATCCACTGGTTACTACTTCTCACTAGAACTCCATGAAATACCTGTTGAATCCAGTCACTAGTGAGCACATGATTATTCGTTACTATCACTTTTACATTTTCAGTCAATTCTTCATCTTTCTCATTCTCGTCAAATGGACAATTATCTTTCAAACACATGATTTCATCTTACTATCTATCGACTGTTATGCAACCTTCTTTTTGACGCTTGGAATTATGTAATCGTCTTTCTATTTTTCAATATAATATTTCATTAGTCAATAAACTACATATATATGATTGTAAAGATGGATGGTGGCTAGCAGCGAAATGTAGGACGCGCGTTTCATCCTATTTGGAACTCATCAACT